CCGACGGACATTTTGCGGCCAACGTGGAAACCCTAAATGGGGAGCAAACATCTTGCCCCACGTGCGGAGAAAAACTCACCCAGACCAGAGGGATCGAAGTGGGGCACACGTTTTACCTGGGCACCAAGTACTCCTCCGTCTCCAACGCCGTCTTCTACTCCCCCGAGAACAAACCCCAGCTGGCAGAAATGGGTTGCTACGGCCTCGGCATCACTCGCATCCTGGCGGCCGCCATCGAAGTGCTCTCTACGGAGGACAGCATCCGTTGGCCGAGCCTCATCGCACCCTACCAGCTCTGCTTCATTCCCCCCAAGAGAGGCAGCAAGGAGGAGGAGGAGGGAGCTGCGCTGCTGGAGCGGGTGTACGATGACCTCGCCGAAGCGCTGCCCCACCTCGCCGGCGACTCGGTGCTGGACGACAGGACGCAGCTGACCATCGGCAAAAGGCTAAAGGACGCCAACAAGCTGGGCTATCCCTACGTGGTCATAGCCGGGAAGAGGGTTTGCGAGGACCCCCCGGTCTTCGAGGTCTGGCGTCAGGACACCGGCCAGGTTTTGTTCCTCACCAGGGAAGGTGTCATTGAGTTGCTGAGTAAAGTGCAAGTCCCTTAAAGTCCCCGTCTCTGAATCTCTCATCTTTGCTGCACTAAGTTTATCTGAACAGCTCCGGTTCCTTTTCAAGGGCAGTGCAGGTTGTCAGCGATGGCTCTGAGCGAGCGGAGACGAATCCAGCTCACATTGGAGCCGGCCAGGGTGTCTTGCAACTGTGCTGGGGGCGAGCTGGGGTCAGCCCACGTTCCCCCGTGGCGCCAGGGGCATTTCTCCCTCTGGCTACAGGTCCTTGTGAGCTGCTTTTACCGGCGCCTGTAGCCTCGTGCAGCCGTGGGAGCGCTGGCAGGGTCAGCCCCTCGCTGCCCGGCCACAGCAGACAAGCTGGCGACAGCCTCTGTCGAGTGCATGCAACAGCTGAGGCTGCAGGAGGGGGGACGGGAGGGCTTTCCCTCGCCCTTTTCAGGTGCTGAGTTCTCGGCATGAGGGATTTTAAGAGGGAGAGAAAGGAAGGCGCCTTTCTTCCATTTGCATTTTCTCTTTGGAGACACCCAGGTTCTGTGAAGGTGGAGGCTAATCTCAATTAAAGCAAAATGGTGAACTCTAGAGCCTTGTTCACCTTGAAAATGCCATAGCTCTGCAGATCTGCAGGAATTAAGGTGACGAATGGTGTTGGGCATCCACATCCCAGTCCTGCAGGTCAGTCCAGCTGGTGAGACGCCTGGATCTGCTGGGCTTGGGTGGCGACGGTGTGGTTTTGGGGATGCAGCCTCAGGGTGGTAGAAAATCTTTGCAAAAAAATTAACAAGGAGACATGAAATTTGGGGACCTGCAAAGCCTGGGGCTAGAATTGTCCAGGCCATGTTGTTGCTTATGGGCTGTAAGTAACCCTGTCCCGCAGGGTGGTGACATCTGGCTTGTATATGCCCGCTGCAGCGTGGGGCTTGCCATGCCGGGCCCGGGGCTCTTGTGAGGAACAGCTTGCTGCCATCCCAGCAGCACGGACTGGTGCCATCGCCCCGTGAGCCTTAGTGTGACTTTGCCATCCTGCCCCGGACAGGGAGCTCTTTGGAGGGAGTCGCCTTGCCCTGTGCTGCAGCTCCTGGGTCTCAGATGTAGAGATCACAGACCGGCCCACAACAGCTGTGGGCCTTTGTGGTAGACCCATGCTCTCCATGTGCTTCCAGACCTGAGGAGGTCACCTAGTCCTTCTTCTCCC